TCTCGCACGATTTCATGCCATGATTCCTCCCCGAAAAGAAGCGTGGTGCAAAATTGCACGAGATTGCGACGCCCAAAATGACTGCCATCCTCTCACGAGAAAAAACAAGAAGATGGCGTTGTAGTTTTTGCCTTCAAGGCGTTGGAGTGCCTGTTAGTTACTTCGCTCCCTAGCCATTTTGCTTTGTATTCTGGTGTTAAATTGGGCTTGGTAATGTGCAGACAGCCAGGACAGAGCTTTCTGGACCAGTGAGAGAAGGTCACTTCAGGTTGCCCACTCAGTGACCTAGCAGCCGCATCCTACGCCAGCTGCAGCCTAAACTGAACAACCACCACAACATAATGATCAGATGACCACAAAGCCATATTTATATCAGTCTTCTTGCCAGATGAGTGAGGTGATGACCTTAGCCTCTCTCAGCTATTTGCCTCTCCCTCTTCTACTTGAATCTGAATTTCATTCCCAACCAATTATCTCCTGGCCCAGCATAAGATGACCAAATTTGGGGGGCGGGGGGACAGGGCCTGAGAATCTACACTTAGGCTGTATTCAGATGAGGGGTTTATTGTGATACTTTTCATGATGATAATGCTAGTGCTTCCGTCCCAATTCCTCAATGTTCCTTCTACTCTACAGTACTAGTTGTGTTTTGAGGGATGCGGGTGGCGCTGTGGGTTAAACCACAGAGCCTAGGGCTTGCCGATCAGAAGGTCAGCGGTTTGAATCCCCGTGACGGGGTGAGCTCCCTTTGCTTGGTCCCTGCTCCTGCCAACCTAGCAGTTTGAAAGCACATCAAAGTGCAAGTAGATAAATAGGTACCGCTCCATGCTGGCCACATGACCCGGAAGCTGTACGCCGGCCCCCCTCGGCCAATAAAGCGAAATGAGCACTGCAACCCCAGAGTCAGTCACGACTGGACCTAATGGTCAGGGGTCCCTTTACCTTACTTGTTGTGTTCCGGATCAGTATACTGCCATGTCATGCTAAATTTAAAATGGCAGGAGAGATGCTGGGATGGCACCCCAAATGAAATTACAATGCAAAAGGCCTGCATTTTCCACTGGTTGAACTGCATTTTTCCCCCTACAAATGGATTCCGTACGCTCACCCTCCCAGAAACAAGTCAATGAGTGCTACTTTTACATCATATGAAAGATCTCATAAAATGTAGAAATTAACAGGTAAGGAAATGTCAGGAAGGTGGAAAAAAGCGTTGTCTGGATGCAGCCCACCGGAATGTTCTCTTCTATGCAAATTATTGCGCAAGCCCTCTGTTTTTCTCTTGACTTGGCTACCCTAGTAGAGATGCCAGCAATTGAACAGGGGGCCCTTTGCATGCAGAAGTGCTCTGCCATTTAGCTATAGCTTTTCTGAAAGCCATTCTAAGGGGTGATTTGTACTTAAGGTAAACTCTTGTGGTCCTTTGGCCTGGGACATAGAACTTTGGGTTTCTTCTGCTCCCATCCTAATTCAGGCCTGCACATTCTCGAATTTTAAGAGGAGTTTGGCTCATGGTATCGTCAAGTCTCTGAATGTTTTGCTATGCAGTCTAGTTTTACATGTGCATATATATATATATGCACACACACATATAGGTGTGCACATGCCCCAAGCCATATTTGATGCTGGGGGGGGGGGGGGGGGCGATCAGTGGCTACTACGCAGATTTTTGTTAAAGAACCATTTGTTAAACCTTGTCTCAGGGGGCCATCATTTCATAATCTTATTAACCACCACTTGGCCTCCAAACAATAAATCAATAAATAATGAACAGGCAGATCTGTGCCAATTACAGCTCAAATACAGTTTTAAAAGGGAAGAAGCTGGGCAGGATATGGACAAAAGCCAATGGTTGTGATGGTGTGTGTGTGTCTTTTTAACAGGGGTTGTTCCCTGGCTGTTTTTGAACCTCAAGTGCTTCTGAGAATGGGAGAGAGAGAGAAAGAGAAAGAGAGAGGGGAGAGGGGCGGGGGCAGGCTGCAGTATCAAAGTCAGGAAAGTGGATTGTTTGCGTTTCATCTTTTATTTTATTTTTTGCAAAACTCCAGAGATCCCAGGATTTTAAAAGCAACTGTCTTCTCCAATTCCTGCAATGAAACTTCAGAAAAGCTTGGAATCATGTAGTAATTGTAGCCAGCTGCCAGGATGATCACATGGCACCTTTAGAACGTCCCCCCTCCAACTTACAATATAATTTGCTCCGATAGGCTTGAGGAGAGAAAATGGAACTGCATAGAGCACCAATGCCTCAACTTCCACCCTACCCCCCACCCCCAGATAACTTGATATTGGTTTCTGTGAATACCATTTTATATATATATATCTATATATATATATATATTTATATATATATATAGGGTTTGCCGATCAGAAGGTCGGCGGTTCGAATCCCCACGACGGGGTGAGCTCCCGTTGTTCGGTCCCTGCTCCTGCCTACTTAGCAGTTCGAAAGCACGTCAAGTGCAAGTAGATAAATAGGTACCATTCTGGCGGAAAGGGAAACGGCGTTTCTGTGCGCTGCTTTGGTTCACCTGGTTAGTCTGGTTAGTCATGACCTGGAAGCTGTCTGCGGACAAACGCCGGCTCCCTCAGCCTATAGAGCGAGATGAGTGCGCAACTCCAGAGTCATCTGCGACTGGACCTAACGGTCAAGGGTACCTTTACCTTTAAGCTGCCCTGAGCCATGCAGGGAGAATTGTTTTTAACAACATAGGGAACTGCTTTTTATGCACACCGCTTGCCCGCCAGGCCTCCTCATTTGACCCCAACCCATGCCACCCTGCATCACACCAGACATCATTTGTGGTGTTTGGGTACTGTGAAGGAAAGGTGTGGCTGGATCCTACTGCTGGAAAAAGCACAATTTATATTGTTCTATCCTGCTTGGTTTGGGTGTGTGAGCTAATTCCTCGGGGGTGGAGCGTGTCATGGTAGTGGTGGGCTAAATTCAGCTTGACCACAGGGTCCACTGGGACAAAAGCTTTCCTTTCTTTCCCGCAGTCATCGCCACTTGGGCTCCCTGGCAGCACTGCTGTTGCAGCTGCCAGTTGCCCCCTAATGTACACCCATGGGGCACCTGGTGCTGTGGTGGTGGTGGGGGGGAAGGACTGCTCCATAAGGGGAATATCAAAGCAGTCTTCTCAAGTTCCAAAATCTGGTGCTGGTCCTGAACTTGGGACCTTCTGCACGAGCTGTGGTCCCACAAACAATCTGGAAGTCCTGATTAGCTCATTTCTAGCCTTAGTATTCAAAAGGTACTACCTAGAGGTGTCTGTGTTTATCCCTGCTGTTGCAATGGATAAGAAACTGGCTTAGTGTGTGTCTGCAGTACACACACCATGAGATTCTCAGGATGCTAATGATGAATTTCATGCTTGCAAGACGCAACAGGGGTGCCGAGAATAAACGCAGCACTGACAATTACTCCCCACTGCTCCGGTGCTGCCAAAATAGATAAAGTTGACACGCACGTTTCTTCAAGTATTTCTGTTTATATATGTATTTGGATAATAATACCACCTATACATTAGATAAGTATATGTAGCATTGTAAATATAGTGATATAGGAAACCTTTTCTCCCCCACTTTTTATTTTCATTTTCTGATGTTCAGTTGAGCTGTTCTTAAAATAAAAAAGTATGCTTTACAGTATAAGCTTTCATAAATAATACAAGGCCATGTTCATGTGAAGTAAGACTTTCCCTCATGAACTGCCTTCTTTGTCTACGAGTTTTGTTCATGACACTGGTGCGATTCCTGGCTCAGGACTATGCATGTAGCACCAATCACCAATAATGTGTGGCTCAACCGAGGCTCTCCCTCCCCCCCAAGTGGTAGTTGCCGTCCCAGTTTATGGCACTTATAATCTGCTTTGGCAAGTGAATGTAGATGTGCACCAATATTTCTGGAAGTTGCATTGTGGGTTGTAAATTCTGTGAATTCAAATTAATCAGAATTTCACCCTCAAACAGGAACAAAATTGCTTCCATAATTGTTTAATGCCACATCACAACTAGTATTTAATTACATATAATTTTGCTGCATTTGGTAGGCTTGCCATACATCAGGAAAATTCCTGTCTTGTCCTGGTTTCCAGCTGTAAAACTGGCGTATGGGGGGGATTTTGCCAAATTGGCAAAATGTCTGGGGTGTATGGCAACATGATGGGAAAAAGGCAGGAACAGCTCAAAAAGCTTAAAATCACTATTTTGGGGTTAGGTTTGCCCAACGAAGCTCAACAATTTGGGTTTGTTCTAAAAATAAATAAATAAAAGCTCAGCAATTTGAGGGTCAGGAATTTTACTTTTTGAAATATGGCATCCCTAGTATTTGGTTACATCTTTCAAGATGCTAATATTCCAAGACAGAGAAGGTAGGTAAAAAAATTCACTAATTAATAAATTTCCTCTAAGTAAAAACAATGAAAATCTCACTGTGCGCTCTTTACTCATGTACTTCTTACTAAACTCCCTTAGGATTACGGTGTAGCTAAGTAACAGCACAATCCTGAACGTGCTTGCTCAAAAGTAGGTCCAACTGAATTCAATGGTAAATAAAGCGTTAGCATCATCGCAGCACGATTGTCTGCTAGTTTTCGAAGCAACTCCGTTTTGCTTTTTTAATGAGTGAGCTTAACTCTCGAGTTAAGTGCAGCCTTAACATTTCGTCTCAGGTGGTGCACCTTCCGGCTCAATAAAGCAACAGAAAGGGTGTATAGATAGATAGGCATTCACTTTTTAAAAAGTACACACGTGCTGCAACTCTGGGACTCAAGCGCCGACCTTTATGCCGATCGTCTGGGCCAGCCTCGGAAAACAAAGGGGACAAATAAGAAACATCTGGCCAGCCTAGATTCTGGTCTGGGTTGCTGCTTATGGGCAATTCAGCCTTAAGGGCAACGGCTTCACTCCCCGCCGGCGCTTCTGTGCGCGCTCACATGCCGGGGAGAGAGCGCGCTTTCTCCAAGGGGAGGCGGCCAGGGAGGAGGAGAGGGAGGAGCTTGTGCCGGGCGCCTGCGCCGGCGGTGCCTATCGCTGCTCGCTCGCTCTCTCTCTCTCGCTCTGCTTTGGTCTTGCTAAGAAGCGACCCGAGTGAAATGTAACAAAACAAGCGGCGCCTTCGCCCGCGCTTAAAGGAGCCGCGCTCGCTCGGAGGCGAAACTGAGGGCGGGGGGAAGAAGTCGCGGGGAAAGTGGCCCGGAGGAAAGGGGACGAGGACCCTGTTGTTGGTTTGCTTCCTCCACGTTCTCAGGTGGGACGCGGAGCCGCACGGAGGGGAAACTGCGGCGGGGAAGGAGGCTTGCCTACCAAGAAGGAAAGGGGAAGCAGGAAAGCGGCAGGACGAGGGGGACGCGCGCCGGACTCTTGCTGAGGGACCAGGGCCGGCTCGATGGCAGCGGCGCCGTCGGAAGAGGCGCTCGCTGCCGCCGCCGCCGCTGTTGCCGCCGCCGCCGCCGCTTCGGGCAGGACCTGCGCGAAGTTTGCTCGGTGATGGCTTGAAAGTTGCCGGCAGCGCCCGGGGAAGGCTGGCTCGACGGCCCCAGCGCGCCTGCCTGCCTGCCTGCCTGCCTGGCCTTTCTCCCTCTTTCTGCTCTGCTGCTGCTGCTGGTGTTTGTTTCGGACTCGGCGAGCAGCGCCATGTCGAAAGTGATCCAGAAGAAGAACCACTGGACGACCAAGGTGCACCAGTGCGCGGTGAGCCGCGGGGCTCAGGGCCAGCTGGGGGTCACCATCCTGGGGGGAGCGGAATATGGAGAGTTTCCTTACGTCGGGGCGACGGCCGAGGAGGACAGCGGCGGAGGCGACGGGAAACTGGGCGAAGGGGAGCTCTTGCTGGAGGTGCAGGGCATCCGGGTGTCGGGCTTGCCCCGCTACGACGTGCTGGGAGTTATCCGCAGCTGCAAGGACCCTGTCCTTTTCAAAGCCGTCAGACAAGGTAAAAGGAAAGGAAATTGCGGGCGGCGGGGGGAGAGACTGGCTGGTTTGCAATAGTGCGGGGCTGGGGGGCGAAGACGACGCGGGGATTGCACTTGCGGGAGTTTGGCGCGGAGGCGAGGGGACTTGAATCCCTCCACTTTTTTCTTGGTTTGGTGCGAGGAGGACGCTTGGAGATCTGTCTCCTCGACTGCCGGCTTTCTTGGGGTGCTGCTGGCGACTTCGGGGGAAGTTTGCGGGGCTGCGAACGAACTTCAGCCGCCTCCCGAGACGGAGCGACGACGGCGAGGCTGCCGCTGGTCCTGGAAGCGGTTTTGGGGGGGAAGGGGGGGAGCCTCTCTTTCTCCTCCGCAGTGCACCGAGTCTGCGGACAAGGGAACGGGGCTAGTGGCGCAGGAGAAGCTGCGCTCTTTCTCGGACTGGCTCGGGGGCTTCTGGTCTCGGTGTGGAGTCCGTGTGCCTGGTTTTTGTTAAAAAGTCAAGAGACGACGCACTAGGGTGGGACCTCTGGCTTGACCCGTCTCGAAGGGATGTGTGATGGGTTGATGGAGCTGGCGTAGCTCAGGCAGTAGAGGCTCTCAAAATCTCAGGGTCGTGGGTTCGAGCCCTGCCTTGGGCCAAAAATTCCTGCATTGCAGGGGGTTGGACTAGATGACCCTGTGGGTCCCTTCCAATTCTACGATTCTATGAAGGGAAAGGCACTCTTGAGACGTGAGTTGGAGTGGTGCCTAGCTTTAGCCAGGACAGAAATATGGAATTCTTAAGGTGACCTCTGGGATTTGGGGACCCCTAGCAATGGAAGCAGGATTTTACCCTGCTCAAGATTTCATTTATTTATTTATTTATTTTCGTAAAATAGCTCTCTGCTAGGTCAGGGTCAAGGTCACATCTGCCTGATGTGAACTTCATCATGCTCTGTTTCAAGCGATTTTTATTTTTTTTTGACAGGTGTGAAAGTCCTGATTTAGTCCACCCATCAGGGTTGGGTAAACTCTGTTGCATTCTAGAGCCTTGTAACTGACTGGTGCTGGAGGGAGTGATGGGAAGGTGCAGGAAGCTGCCTTATACCTCGAGGCATATCATTGGTCCATCCCACTCAGCAATCTTCTCTACTGATGATCCAATAACTCTCCAGGGTTTCAGACAAGCTTTGTTGTCAGCCTCTCTGGAGACGCCAGGAATCTAACCTGGGATCTTCTGTGTGCAAGGCAGAAACTCTGCCACTGACCTATGATCCACCCCCAAATTAAATGGTTCAAAATTTCTAATCTGCCCCATCCGTAGGGTGAGGTTGGGTTTGCTTCTTAAAACCCTGATGGCAACAGATATCCCTTAAAAAAACCAGGCAGAAAACTGAATACATCTTGGAATCTCAGACCTGTACAAGCAATATTAAAAAAAAAACTAGCTAAAGTTTGCTCTTGCTTCAAAGGAAGCCTGGGACTTTTTCTGTTTGGAACGTTGGATTCCAATCCTAGTTCCTGAGATACGAGGTGGCCCTATAAAAGAGCGTGCCAAGCCTTCAGAAAGAGGAACTCCATAGGTTCCGTTCCTCCTTTTTTTGTACTGTGCTAGGAATAAGTCCTGTCTCATGCCTTCCATCACAGGAAGAAGATGCTGCTGCTTCCCAGTCCCATTCCTGGACGAGGCTTGGTTTCCACTTGTTGGACGCTGTTTGAGCTATAAAAGTTGCCTTGGGAGTGGACAAGCCCAACAAACTCTTGTTTTGCATTGAGCAGCGTGGGAGGTGTGCCTCCTCCCAGGTCAGCTACTTGGCTGGTCCTTGGGAAGCGAATGAGGGTGGTAGCTGGTGTGTTTAGAAAAGGGGAGGGCTTGGTTTCTATGGCAAGGAAATTGCTGGGTAATGCAGGGTGTGAGTGCGCCTCAGATGCTTATCGGGTCTAAGTAGAGTTTTATTACTCTCCTAAAAGATCACACACAGAAAGATAAGTAATGGGGAACCCTTAATATGTTTTTAAAAAAGGAAGGCTGGAGAACCACAAAGTGTTTTTTGGTGTTTTTTTTAAGTCTCCCAAAATAATGTGCTCTTCAAGTGTTTTTGTCCTGCCCCCCTTACCAAAAAAAAAGATTACAGTGGTACCTCGGGTTAAGTACTTAATTCGTTCCTGAAGTCCGTTCTTAACCTGAAACTGTTCTTAACCTGAAGCACCACTTTAGCTAATGGGGCCTCCTGCTGCCACTGCACAATTTCTGTTCTTATCCTGAGGTAAAGTTCTTAACCCGAGGTACTATTTCTGGGTTAGCGGAGTCTGTAACCTGAAGCATATGTAACCTGAGGTACCACTGTATTTGTGTGTGTGTGATCATTCTGTTGGCTTCTTTGCTTTTCTTCTTTGCAGTCTTTGACTGCAAAAGTTGCGATGGGCAAAGCCACCTTCAGGGAGCTTTTTACTGCTGCCATTTTCTTTTTTTAAAAAAGCAGCCACAAATCAAGTCTGCCTTTTTTCTCTCTCCTCGCCCTCTCTCCCTCCCTCTGCCAGTTTGAAAATAACGGAGTCACCCTAGGAGAGAGAGACAGAGGGGAGCATCTTTGCTTTGTTTTGATGCCAAGGCAGTAATTATTTGGGAATGGTGCTCTGATTCTCCTGGGTAAGCCGAACTGCATTCTTCTCCGCTGCCACCCTCCACACATCTCCCTTGGGGACTCGGCTCTAAGTTTTACGGCTTGTGCTGGCTCCTTCAGCCCTGCAGCTCCCGTTCAATTGGAGATGTTCTTTTTAAGAACTGCACCAGCGCCCCTGGCCACAGACGGTTCCGGGAAGGGCTTCTGCAGTTTGTCAAGTGGTGAGTCCCTGGGTCTGGTGGCAAACTCTATTAGGGAGCCAAACAAATATTTCACTTGACTGGACCTAGAGGAATTTCCGGAGAGACCGACTCCTCCCTTCGAATTGGAACATTCGGCTGCTTTGCTGGAGGATGACTCCTTGCCTGTGTGTTTCTTAAGTGTAGGCATGTGATTGCCAGCTGCCTCCCTTGCTTTATGTCAAAAGATTGGCATGGATTTCTACATGGGAAATGGATTATTTCTCTCTCTCTCTCTCCACCCCCCCTTCTTCCCCCCTTGCCTGCCAGGAATGGTTTATTTTCTGCTTTGCTGAAATCCCAAACATTTCTTCCTTCAGACTTCCCTAGCAACAGGACGCTTCTGGATCCCTCATAGCCTATGCAGAGACGCTTGTCATTCACTTCTGGCCTGTTCAAGAGCCTGTTCTGGTTGGCATCCACAAAGTTTTTAGGTGTCATAGCCAGGGATAGTTCTTGTTGTCCCTGTGATTAAGCAAGCCAAGCCACCTTACCCTACCCAGAGCAATGAAAAGATGTGGGTGGGTGTCCATCCCCCTCTGTGGCTTAGAGGCCATTGCCTGGGGATTGGCTGAAAAGCTCTTGACTTCTGCAAGTGTCCTGCACACCAACAAGCTCCTGAATTAACAAGTGGAATTTTTGTCCACAGCCTACCGCAGATTCATCGTGCCAGCTGATTAGTTAACAGCTATTAGCTGGGATAGCTAAGTGGAACTTCAATTTCCAGAGGCAGTAAACCTGTGAGAGATTTCACCTGTTTGTGGTGCTTCACAGACACCTGTCTAGAGCAGGGGAAGGGGGGGGGGAGGAGAACCTTTGAGGCTGATCCAGCAGGGCAGTTCTTCTACTCTCGACTGCAAAATGAAAGATGCAAAGAAGCTGCTTTCTCATTCCTCCTCGGAGGCTGTTGGTGGGGTCTTGCAGCCCTGCTTGCTTCCCTTTTCTCCCTGTGTTTTGCTGTTGTGAACTTGAGTAAAGCTCAACAAAAACATAAGGGAAACAGAACAGAGTTAACAGAGAACATTCAACATTGCATAGCCACTCTGTATTCTTTGCATTTAACCATAAGGAGTACCAAAGGGCATCCAGGTATCTTCTTGCTCAGAGACATTAACGTAGATGTCTCCCATGCTTAAATGAGAGATGCACCAGATGTGATAAGCAGTGGTTCTGTTAGAACACTTATTGATGCATCTCATGGTAAAGTTTTATTTAGCCTAGGGCTTGGAGGCAGGAATTAGTCTCTGAGAGGCATCATAGTGTACAGACACATTTCTTCTGTTCCAATCTGCTGGTCAAACAGGTCTTACAGGAAAACTTGCGGAACTTGCTGGCCAGATATAGAAGCAGGAAGAGTGTGTACATGCTACTGAGCAGTGATCCTGTCTTCCATTCTGCTTCTGCCTCTTCTTAATACACAGAGACTGCAAGTCACACTGGAAATATTCTTACCAAAAATTGTGAACTCTTAAATCTTGATTCATGTTTTGACGGGCACGAACTAATACTTAGCAGACCCTTCTTGATTGCCGGGTTCCCACAAAATAACATTGGGGCGGGTACAGAAAATAAGTTTGGATGTCCGCCTCTCCCCCTTATTTTGTAAAAGGACCGGCCCTACTGTTGGGCAGAGTTTTCAGGTGACTCCTTCCCACACAGGTGCAGAAGCAAGGTTTAGGATGTGAGCTAGCGGGAAGAGTGCTGTTGCACTCAGGTCCTGTTTGCAGGCTTCCCATAGGCCTCTGGTTGACCACTTTGAGAACAGAATGCTGGTCTAGGTGGGTCGTTGGCTTGAGCCAGTAGAGCTCTTGTGCCCAAGAGACTTCTAAGCTAGCCTGTTGCCCTGGGGTGCACTGGAAGATGTTGTCTCATTGTCAGTGATAAGTAAGGCTGTATTGCATGTCAGCTTTTGTATGTAGAATGGAAAGGAAGGTGCTATCTTGTCGCTGGTCTCGGGCAACAAGATGTCTTTGGTTGGCCAGTCTTGTAAAAGCAGTGTTGGATTGCCTTCTAGTTGCTTGGAGATCCCCACTGCACAGCATTCAAACTCTTGTTTGTTATTAAACATAATGCCACTCGTTCCCTCAAGCAGGATCCTGTTATGCTTGTTAAGTACATTGAGTTGCCCCTGAAATAAATGCCTGTTTCCACTTTTGAAGGCCTAGTGCCAAGCCCATCCTTGGCCCCAGCTCCAAATGTGCTTCCCCGTAAGAATAGGTTTCCAAATCGATGGAACGCTTCGGATGCCAGTAGGTATTCTCCTTGCTTTTGCAATGTGGAGGTTGAGACCTACAAAAACCCTGTGGTGAAACTGACAGGAGACGAAATAAAACCGGTGTTTCCTTACATGTGGGTAAGAAAGGCCAAAGCCTGGCAATGTGATTAAAACTTGCATTTCCTTGCATGACTTTGTGTCTGTTTTGAGTTGTAGGCTGTTGGCTACAGAGATTATGAAATTAAAGTATGAACTGCTTGTCACTTAAAAATTGAATGTCTAGGTGCATAGGATGCTTCCTTATCCCAAATTGGATCCCTGGTCCCATTTAGCTCAGTGTTGTCCGCACTCCAGGTTTTCAGACAGGATGGATTTTTAATCCCTCCCCATTTTTCCTTTTCTTTTTTTAAAAAAGAAATTGCTCTTGCGTTTTCTAATTCACTGCATGAATCAATCCTTCTAAAGTTACAGCCCGTGAAGATCAGTTTACTTCAGTGATATATTTAGATTATTTTTGGTTGATTTAATTTTTTTTTTAAGGAAACAAAAGAAATTAAACCCAGCATGCCAGCGAAGCAAGACAGTGGTCCTATTTTCTGCTTGCTGTCACATGTGCTGCTTTGACAACATTAATTTGACCCTGAGATGTATGTGAAAGCAGAAGGATGTAATGGTAGATTTCTGTGCAAGGGCTGGCATTAATTACCCAGGCCAGCTGTGGAATGTTAGGCTCAATTACATTTACCAATGCGAATGAAACAGGCTCTTTAAAAGTTATTTGCCTGAGCACTTATTCTGACATGCTTCCCCTGAGGGTGTCTGGGAGGGATGTGATGTCTTCAATAGTCTGAATTTCTCCTCTTGTGTCCCTCCAACACCCTGCCAAAAAAAGAAAGAAAAAGAAACATATATATATATTGGAAGGGTTGGTTAAGGAAGGAAGGGTGGGTCATAATGATCAGTGCTTCAGTGAAAGTTTTGTACCCCTTCAGCAGCTTCGTGTATGCAGGGAAGCAAACTGCCAACTTTTGTTAACAGATAACTCAAAACCTCTGGCCACATGTATATTCTAACCATCTGCAGCCAAAGTGTAGAAATAGTTGCAATAGTTCTTTGTGTTTTGATTTCCAAATTCCTGTGCTGGGTAAATGCATAACAGGTTAACCTCCCCACCCCCTTTTTTATATAAATTTTTTTGAAAAAAGTTTCTCGCTGTGGAGGATTTTGATGTGTCTCTTCTTACTGACATTTGTATATGTAAACATGACACATACAGGATTTGGGAAGATGCTTTGGCTTGCAAGTTCTTGGCTGAAGTTCCTTTTAAAAAGGCATGGCTCCCTGGTTTATATTACTGCAGTGATTAGTTACATTATCTAGTGTTCAAACTACAAAACTTGCAGATTAAAACAGATGTACATGGCTTTTTTATAATTATGCCAGAATGCTCTGAACAACTGACAATCAGTAGTTTATGAATTATGTTTTTCTTTCTTTCTTTTTTTTTGACCAGTTAAGAAGAAGGTTTAAATCAATATTGCAGTGTGTAGTTTAAAATTTCATTTTTTTTCTCCTATGAATTTTACCTTGCTGCTGTTGAGCCAATTTTCTTTTTCAAGATTGTTTATTGCAATAATTGTGTCTTGCAGGATCACTGTGCCACCTGTTGTATAAGTTCCCATTATATAGTACCATATGGCACACAATAAGGGGAAAAAACAGCAATTTTATGGAAGCACGTGCTCAAAGAGCAGTGGTGGAAGCTGCAGAGATTAGAGCATCTTCGAATGAGAGGCAGGTGCTGGATGGCCGGACATCCAGGTAGATTCTTATTTCAGATTATCCAGCTCTTGCACAAAGCTGTATGTGCAAATCTTAGTGTATACCAGGGGTCAGCAAACTCTTTCAGTAGGGGGCCGGTCCACTGTCCCTCAGACCTTGTGGAGGGCTGGACTATATTTTGAAGGGGGATAAAGAACGAATTCCTATGCCCCACAAATAACCCAGAGATGCATTTTAAATAAAAGGACACATTCTACTCATGTAAAAACAAGCTGATTCCCGGACCGTCCGCGGGCCCGATTTAGAAGGCGATTGGGCCAGATCCGGCCCCCAGGCCTTAGTTTGCCTACCCATGGTGTATACTATTCAGAAGACAACCTTTTGAGTGTAATGTATGACAGCCTACTCCAGAGTAGAGTCTCCCTAGTTTTATTCCAAGGAAACCTCCAGTTTCTGCTCTTGACTTGTGGTGGTGCTCTGAAAAATTGGTAGTCCACTTGCATATGGCTCCCTTTCTCACTTGCTCATGGTTCATAACTTGCCAGTTGGCAACTGCTATTCTGCAGCAAGTACAGATTTATAACAATGCAATCGCCAACCATGCTTTCCATGGGAAAGGCAGCATTGATTAAAGATGACACATTTTGTTCCAAAACCTAAGCATTGTGTTAACGGCAGCCGTTTAATTGTTGAATGCTTGTGTGACGCACCCATTGAGCTCAGTGCTGGCATACCCTTGCACATGGTATGAAATTTAACACAAGACATCTGTGTACTGGGTGCTTAAAATCTCAGAGAGAATGCTCCCTATAAGCATTTAAGAAGAGTTTGGATTTGATATCCCGCCTTTCACTCCCTTTAAGGAGTCTCAAAGCGGCTAACATTCTCCTTTCCCTTCCTCCCCCACAACAAACACTCTGTGAGGTGAGTGGGGCTGAGAGACTTCAAGGAAGTGTGACTGGCCCAAGGTCACCCAGCAGCTGCATGTGGAGGAGCGGAGACGCGAACCTGATTCCCCAGATTACAAGACTACCGCTCTCAACCACTACACCACACTGGCTCTTTACCAGGGTTTGGAATGTAAAAAGGGATCCTCTTTAGCAGCGAACTGATGTGCACGGTTCTTGCCATTCGCCTTTACAAAGAGCAAGTTAACACTTTATATTTTTTTGCCTTGTGTTCTTCGGTGTTGGCTTCAATTGCTTTCTGTTTACAATTTTTCAAGAATTAATATGATCCTTTAACGGGATAAAATTGGATTATGTTTTCCACAATAAGGTTAAATCTTTCAGCCTCATTATTAAATAATACTGCAGGCTTTCATTTTTAGGGGCTGCCAGATCATAGTGCAATTATCCTTCAAATTACAGTGTTAATTGCAACCGATGTTTGAAAATTATTGCCATGTAGGGTATTAAATAATTTAACTACTCTTGGTGGTTGTGCAGTGTGTGTGTTTAAAGCTGTTTACAAACTTGAAATTTAAATGTTCTTTTGGTCTCCCAAAGAACAAGAGCCTGAATTTAGAATTCAGCCTTTCTAGTTTGTTTCGCAAGCTGCCACTGCACACTTCTCCCCCCACCTTTAATTAAAATTGGAGACACCTTCTTCCCCCACTGCTTATGCATCTGAAAAGGATATATTGTAAACAAGTTGATACTTCTGTGACCTCACAGAAGTCACCTTTCTTGATTGGAAGGAGACAGGCCTTACAGCACTCAGCCACACAGAGATCCATTGGGAGAGTGTCACAGGAGCATGTCAGTCAGTAATCACACAGTTCAAATTTGGAGCTAACTATTTATTAGCGAAAACACAATCCCCACAGACTTGGCTGAGGATCGGGCCTAATGAGCACAGCAGCTCATTCCCAGTGGTCTTATTCAATGAGAATTAGTTACCAAGACTGAAAGTCCCTGCCTCCTCACAGCCGTCATAAGTCCCCTCCTCTCCAGGACTTCCCCCAAGCAATCGGAGACTGCGTCTGCATGCGGCCAACCTCTCCTCTGCCCTTTTCATTCCTCTCCTGGTTCTGGGAGACAGTGGGAAGGGGAACTTGTTGCAGCAGGAGTGAGGGAGTGGGGAGACCCCTGTGACTCTTCACCACCCTGATTCATCTCTGCCTCTTGGCCTCCCTCCTCTCCTGCTTCAGCTTCTGCCTCTGGTTCTAGACTTCTCTCTGCCACAGACTCTCCCTGCTCACTAAGTCCTCTTACTTCTTCAGCTTCCGACACCTCCTTCCAGCCTCCGACACCTCCTTCAGCTTCCGACACCTCCCGGTCTTCTCTCTCTTCCTGTGACCACTCATTGTAGTCCCACCACCACATCCTTGTCCTGGGATGTTCTTCATTTGTAGGCTGCAGTGCCCAAACAGAAGGGTTGAGGTGTGGGTATTAAAATTCAGCCTGCAGGACCAGTTTGTGGGGAAATAAAGCATAATTTGTTGTTGTTGTTGTTTAGTCGTGTCCGACTCTTCGTGACCTCATGGACCAGAGCATGCCAGGCACACCTGTCTTCCACTGCCTCCCGCGATTTGGTCAAACTCCTGTTTGTAGTTTCGAGAACACTGTCCAACTGTCTCATCCTCTGTTTTCCCCTTCTCCTTGTGCCCTCAATCTTTCCAAATGCCCGTGGCAGTGTGTATAGTGCTGAGTGTGGTTCAAATCTCTGTAAAGTCTTGAAATTCGCTTTGGAACACTTCTGCCAGATTATATCCTCTATGTTTAGACACGCATGCACTGTGATGTGGTAGACACCACTGGCTCATTTTGTTTTCGTACATTTATATCTCCTCCTTTCATCCAAGGCAGCATACACGATTCTCTGTCTCCCTGCACGCATTTTATCCTGCTAACAGTCCTGCAAGGTAGGTTGGCTTCACAGCTGGATGGAGATTTGAACCCAGGTTCCCCACTTTCCTAGCTCACCCACTTTTAACCACTTTACTGGCTCACATTTTGCTGCATTGCGTGTGTTTAAAATTATAGACATACCTTCACGCGTACCCCATTTTTGCATCTTTATATTACATGAAATAAAACCCTTCCAACTCTTACCACTCTGTGATTCTATGAAATAACCAAGGGAAGAAATAATTAGCTGGAATTCCCGTCCTGCTTTTTGACTGTGGAGTCCTCAAGTCTTGGGTCTGAAGACAGCCTCATGTCACCTTGAACAACGCAACTATACTGCAGTGTTTGTGCAGCTATAAAAGGGAGAGGATGATTCCCCCCCCACCTGTCCTAAGCCCTTGGAATAACACAAAGATAGAAATGTGAATTAAATTGGTGTACAAATCTGTGAATACATCATTATTTAATACTGCCCTAAAGATATAGCTATATATGTTCAGTTGTAAGGTCTTGTTTTGTTTTTAGAAAGAGAAGAGAAGGCCACATTTGCCTGCTGCTTTTTCAGCTTAAAATGGTCATGCATCCAAACATCTGTCTGAGCTCCCAAATCCTACAGAGGATCATACAGGGAAAGCAAAAATTAGTCTGTCTTGGGATGGAGCTGTTTTAAGAATGCAAGTCCTTTTAAGTATTTAAGAGCTAGTAACATCTCAGCGCTAAAGACTTTATTCTCATTACTTATACATCTTCTGCTTCATTTTAGGAGTAAAGGGTGCCCATCTATTATTTAGGAGGCCTGTTGGGTTGGTGACAAAAAAAAAGGCCAAAAGCAATTCTTGTGCTGCCTCCTCCTCTCAGAAGCTCCTCTTAACTTTCAAGCAACTATTTGACAACCTGCATTTAAACTCCACCGTTGGATAAAAATATGGACTGAGTGCATTTTGTGAGGCAAGCAGAGAAAGGCCACGGTTTTTCTGTTTGATGAGAACGCCAGTCTGTTCCATCCCTCCTGCCTCGTCCCATAAAGTGGTACTGGAGGAGTCGGGAACCTGTGGCCATCCAGACTCCAGCTCCCATTGTCCCCAGGCAGCATGGCCAGCGTTGTAGTGGTCAGTCCAGCAACATCTGGAGGGTACAGGTTCTTTACCTCTGTGGTACAGGCTGGTGCTGGTGAAGGCAAAGTCACACCTCTGTGGCTTTTGTCAGGGGACTGTCCAAAGTATAGCCAGGAAGCCATTTTACAGTATTACCCTCTTAAGGAATATTAGTAGTTAGCAAGGCAGGGCACCACCTTAACCTTTGTTCCACTCCTACCTGCAGGGCCATGGCCAGAAAGTAGTGATGCAGGAGTTCTTCTCAGATCCTTGGTTCTTCGGCTGTGGGGTCTCCTGCAGGATTCTGTTCTGTCCCCCATCTTGTTTAACATCTACATGAAGCTGTGGGGAGATGTTGTCACTAAAATTGCTGATCACACCCAGTTGTGTTTGTCTGACTCTGCTGGGTTGGGTGGAGTAGCGCAGTTCTTGGAGGGCCAGGATGAGGACCAGCAAGTTGAAGCTGGCACCTCTAGGTGGCTAAGGTTTACCTAGTGGTACCATGGGTTAAATACGCTTCAGGTTACATACGCTTCAGGTTACAGACTCCACTAACCCAGAAATATTACCTCGGGTTAAGAACTTTGCTTCAGGATGAGAACAGAAATCGTGCAGCGGTGGTGCAGCGGCAGCAGGAGGCCCCATTAGCTAAAGTGGTGCTTCAGGTTAAGAACAGTTTCAGGTTAAGAACGGACCTCCAGAACAAATTAAGTACTTAACCCGAGGTACCACTGTACAGGCAAAGATTAGAACAGGGGTTTGATTGCAGAATTGGAAGGGTCTTCTAGGAATCCTTTTGCTCAACGTGGGGCTCAAACCCACGACCCTGAAATTATGGTGTCTCATGCTCCACCGGCTGAGCTAACTTGTTGGTTTATAAGTTACCACTCTAGCTGCCATTTTGATCTCAATAGCAGTTTGTTTTAGAAGCCTGCCAAACATCCCCTTTGCATCCTGGATAGCTGCACAGCAGTCCGGTGCCTTACAGATGTTGTTGGACCACAGTTCCCACCAACATCTTCTGAATAACACATTCGCTGCTCCTGAATTAGGGTCTCTGTCTTCCTTGCCCCCTTCTTTTCATGGTTTTAGCAAATGCTTCTTAAAATATGCATTATTCATCTATAGCATCTGGATTCTGGCATCTTCTGGTTGGGCCTCTCACAGCTTTTTCTCAGAGTTTATTTCCTTAATGCAATTGAGTGACTTAATTAGTTCTGGGGCTAATCTAGCATTAGCAAAATGCGTTTGTCAATACTTCTTTGTCCCAGTCACATAGGACTGTCTAATGTGGTTTGTCATATATTCTTCAGAATAGCTTTGCATTGCAGTTCTTAGCTACTACTAGAAATATATTCTGCAAGATCAAAATTTTGTGACCAGAAGGGACACATTCAGTGACTGGTTCTGTTTTATGCAAATTATAGCACAAACTTCTTGGCTTGCAAACATTGGCCTTATGCATGTTTCCCTCAAGAACTGGTACTCATAGAAGAGGCATGGTGCATTGATGGGCAATAGCCATCCAGCAAACCCTCTTAAATAACATATAATACAAACTGAAATGGAAGGGTTGAGCATGCAAAATATGTCTGTCCATGGTATTATTGTTCAACTTGCATGCTGATCATAACTACGTCAATACCATTATTTTTCGCTCTATAAGACGCACCAGACCACAAGACGCACTTAGTTTTTGGAGGAGGAAAACAAGAAAAAAAATATTCTGAATCTCAGAAGCCAGAACAGCAAGAGGGATTGCTGCGCAGTGAAAGCAGCAATCCCTCTTGCTGTTCTGGCTTCTGGGATAGCTGCGTAGCCTGCATTCGCTCCATAAGACGCACACACATTTCCCCTTACTTTTTAGGAGGGAAAAAGTGAGTCTTATAGAGCAAAAAATACGGTAAGTCTTTCTTGTAAGATTGTAGGCTAAAGAGTGTTTTATTCTTGCCGCGGGCAGGGGGACACCAGTAATAAGAGTCTGGTTTTATACCTGGAGTTCAAACAAGGATCTTTGAAATGAGATGCACTGAAACTTTAAGACTATGCTATGGCTTTGTTTGCATGTAATGCTAAACTGTGGTTTAGCGTTTCAAGGACACGTTGCAGTGAGCCTTGAGCTTGCACACTATGCATTCTCTCTCTGTTCTCCCCAGCCCAGCTTTGAGGATGACTTTGGAAGCTTCATCTTTCACTTTAAACTAACCACAGCTTGTCATGATGTCTGAATACAAGCAAACTGTGATCTCAGCTATGATTAGTGGACACAAGCCAACTTCAATCTACGAAACTGGCTTATTTTCATTAACCGTACTTAATTAGCCACAGTTTAGGTTTTGGAGGGAGCTCTAAACTGTGGTTAATCTAAAACGAAAGCAGAAACTTCTGATCTCTGCCTCGTGGCCATGCCAGAGAGGGAGAGGAGAGAAGGTTACTGCAGTTCAGCCTCATAAAGCTAAACTGTTGTTTAGCATCTTGTGAAAACTGGGCATGTGTGACCCTGGACCCAAACACTTTCTCTTAGCCTGACCTACCTCATAGAGCGAAACCTTAAGGTCTTTGGGGAAGGGCAGGAAAAAGTGTGTAGAAACCTCATCTACCACCAGGAACAATACCATGAAGGGGAGAGAGGCAGGCAAAGGCTAGGCTTCTGCTCCAGCTAGGCCAGTTGTCTTCAAGTGTGAGGGTCTTTAATTCGTTCATTGCAATTTGTCCAAGTTCTAAGCAACTTTGGGACATAGATATACCATAGCTGTTAACTTTCAGATTTGAAAATAAGAAATCAGCAGCCTCACCTGTCCCAGAGACAGTCTACAGGATACAGTGTTGTTTAATTGTTGTTAGCCGCCCTGAGCCCAGCTTCGGCTGGGGAGGGCGGGATATAAATAAAATTTATTATTATTATTATTATTACAGTGGTGCCTCGCAAGACGAAATTAATCCATTCCGCGAGTCTCTTCGTCTTGCGGTTTTTTCGTCTTGCGAAGCACGGCTCTTAGCGGCTTAGCGGCTATTAACGGCTTAGCGGCTTTAAGAAAAAGGAAACAAACTTGCAAGAACTCGCAAGACGTTTCGTCTTGCGAAGCAAGCCCATAGGGAAATTCGTCTTGCGGAACGACTCAAAAACGCAAAACCCTTTCGTCTAGCGAGTTTTTCGTCTGGCGATGCATCTGTCTTGCGGGCACCACTGTATCTAACAATCTGGGATAGTAGCGGGAAGCAGCGGGAAATGGCACTGGAATAAGGGAATTTCCCGCAAAAATGGAAGGTTGACAGCTATGGATATACTAAATAGGCCGCATTCGATTTCGAAGCCAAGAACTGCATGGGCCTCATTTTGCGCAGTGTGTAATGTACCCGCTGGGATGCATGTGGGCAGTTGCTCTCAGAGAGCATGGGCAATTCCAGCTTCCCTTGGATTCTGCCTATTTTTTTTCTATCCAGCTCTTGGGATCCAAACTGAGGTACATGGGGGTAAATACACTTTAAAATTGTGACATTTGCTTCCTTATCCTTAAGCATGTTTGCTTGGAGATAAGTCTCTTTTTGTTCAGTGGGACTTGGGCAACCATACATTTAAAGTTATACCACTTTAAACAGTCATGGCTTCACCCAAAGAATATTGGGAACTGTAGTTTGTGCTGAGAATTATTAGGACACCTCTATCTCCCTTCCCAGAGTGGTTTAACAATCAGTCCCTCTTTGTGAGGAGAATAGAGACAACTCTCAGCACTTTTAACAAACTACAACTCCCAGAATTCTTTGGGGGAAGCTGTGACTGTTTAAAGTGGTGTCGTAGCACTTTAAGTGTATGCATTGAATGTTGCCTTGGTTCCAAGCAGATGTGCTTAGTATTGCAGCCTTGAGTGCATGAGCCGGCCCACCTATTAGGCGACCACCTCAGGTAGCAGATCCCAATGTAGATATTAGTTCCTGCCCCCCTTGCTCCTGATGTAGATCTTCACTCATCCCCTCTTCCCTGGTGAGGAGGGAGTGCCATTTTGTGGTTCGCCTCAGGTGCCAAAATGTCTTGGGCTGCCCTGGCTCTCTCACACACAATGTTCTGGATTAGTTTTTGTTTTTTTTAAAAAAAGAAAAGGTGAAGGACCCCTGACAGTTAAGTCCAGTCGCAGACGTCTCTGGGGTTGTGGTGCTCATCTCGCTTTACAAGCCGAGGGAGCCAGCGTTTGTCTGCAGACAGTTTTTCTGCGTCATGTGGCCAGCATGACTGAGGCGCTTCTGGCGCAACGCAACACTGAAACCAGAACAGAGCAATGAAACGCTGTTTACCTTCCCTCCGGAGCGGTACCTATTTATCTACTTGCACTTTTGGGCGTGCTTTTGAACTGCTAGGTTGGCAGGAGCTGGGACACAGCAACGGGAGCTCATTCCCATCGCGGGGATTCGAACCGCTGACCTTCTGATCAGCAAGCCCAAGAGGCTCAGTGGTTTAGACCACAGCGCCGCCCGCGTCCCATTGGATTAGATTACTGCAGTACAATTGTGAGCGGGGAAGTAACTCCAGCTGTGCTCCATAGGGTTTACTCTCAAGAAAGGCCTGCCTAGATTAGCAGTCTCCATGGCTGAAGGAGCTGGCTTCTTAGAAGCACTAAGCCAAATAGATACAAGCCTCCTGGCTGCCAAACATTTAAGACTGTGGCAAAGCAAGTGATTGCTCGTGAAGGGAAGTGTCTCCTCTCCTTGCTCTCAACTTTGTGAGCGAAGACGCTTGCCGGACTTTACAAGGCGGCTGTGCTTGGCACCCAGCTTCTAAGCAGAAGACATTTCAGAGCAGGGTGAGCTTAATTTAATTGAAACGGATGACTTTGCAATAGCCGAGCTGCCCGTGAAATGGGGAATGGTGCGTACGCTTGTTATCTTTGCTGCATAAGCTTGTGGCGGCGCATAAAAAGAGAACTGTGGCGCTTTGATCTGGGGATAGAGCTCTCTGTGAAGTTTGCTGCTGAGACAGAGGACGGTCTCTTGTGGCGGCAATTCTTGTTTGGTAGAATTCAGGTAGTCGATGACGGGTGGGTATGTTAAGTGCGGGGAATGAGAGAGAGAGAGATTTCATTGTTAGGTGCAAGTGAATTGCGCATGTACGTCAAGGAAGGCTGGATCCTGCAGGTAGAAAACTATGTGAATTCTGACTCAGTGTTTACTTGTGTATAATCATTCCGGCAAAGCGCTGGAGTAGCATAGTGGCAGAGAGAGGTTGTGCTACTAATCAGGAAGTACTTTGTTTGAATCTCACCTGTGCCATGGAACTTACAAGGTGGCCTCAGGCAAATCACTTTTCCTCGCACACGCACCAATCTGCAATATGGGGATAATAAAATTAGCATTACAGCATTATTATAAGGATTGCACCAAAGTAATATAGGCAGCTTCAAAGCACTTTAGAAATGCTAAGTATTATTGCTCTGACAGTAAGAGCTTTTCAACATTGGAACCGTCTCTCTTGGGAGGTGGTGGATTCTCCTTCCTTGGACGTTTTTAAGCAAAAGTTGGAATGGCCACCTGCCATGGATGCTTTAGTTGAGATTCTTGCATTGCAGCGGGTTGGACTAGATGACCCTCGGCGTCCCTTCCATCTCTCCAATTCTATGATTCTGTGATTCAGTATGATTGCAGATCTACGTTTCTTGGGAATGCAACATGGTGGGCAGCAGGGGTTACTAGCAATAAAGGGGCAGTGAGCAGTGCTTCAGTAGCTTGAAAAGTGCTCCTGCCCCAGGGTTATTTCTAGATCCTATCTATTCAGCTTGGAGACTGAATAATCACAGAGTCAGAGTCGTTGGAGGGACACAAGAGGAGAAATTCAGACTACTGTATTGAAGACATCACATCCCTCCCAGACACCCTCAGGGGAAGCATGTCAGAATAAGTGCTCAGGCAGGAATATGCAGGTGGAACCATATGGGGATTGAACCAGCAACCTTGGCGTTATTAGCACCATGCTCTGACCAACTGAGCTGACTGGCATTTTAGTGTTTGCAAATCCTTGAGGCTTCACAAATCCTCTACAGTGGTACCTCGGGATGCGAATGGGATCCGTGCCAGAGCCCCGTTCGCATCCTGAAGTGAACGCACCCCACGTCTGCATGTGCGCGGGTCGCATTTTGCCGCTTCCGCACATGCGCCTGACGTCATTTTGACCATTTGCGCATGCGCGCGTGCCGAAACCTGAAAGTAACGCACTCCGTTACTTCTGGGTCGCCGTGGAGCACAACCTGAAAATACTTAACTTGAAGCACATTTATCCCGAGGTATGACTGTACTGCAGTTGGAAAAGAACCTGAACTTAGAGCAATACAATTCCAACCACCAAAACACTATTTGCAGATTGCTAGGCGTTCCTCCAGATTAGCCATTGCGTTACAGTGGCTAAAACCCCTGCTCAGCCATTTAGTGACCTACCTCGTAGGCTGGTTGCGAAGATCAAGCGGTGGTGGTGGGTATCGCGTACGTCGCCCTTGAGTTGGTGAGAGGGCAGTATAAAATGAGAGGCGTGCGAGAGGAAGCCGTGAATGTTGCGTTTGTCATGCAATGATTTGCAGCGGACGCTGGATCATTAATAATGGCTTTCCACATCGAGACGGCCATGTAGTTCCCTGTTCCGCTTTGCCAGGTGAGCAAGCCCCTTGCTCTCAGTTGCTCTGCTGTGTCTTTCTCCAATCCCCTTGCTTGGCTCAGATGCTGCAGCCTGGTGCAGTTTCACCAGGAATTGGAGCTTAGAGACAGCATCAAGGCAAGTAGTCTGGAACCAAGCTGTTCACACAGTGGCCAGATGGAAGCGGGTGGAAAAGCCTTCAAGGGTTGGCTCAGGTCATTTCCTGTCCCTGTGACACTGGCCAGTTTTTTTTTGGGGGGGGGGTTTGGCAGTTTCAGTGCAGAGGTGAGGAAGTGGTGACCTGCTAGCATCGCTGGGCCCATCATTCCTAACCGCTGGCTGGGTTTTGATGGAGTTGGATCCCAGCAACATCTGGAGGGCGCCAAGTTCCCCACCCTTTCACTAATGGAAAGACGGACGCCTGGCTTCTTTGCAAGCGTGAGGGTAAATTGTGTTTGGCGTTTGGGGGTTTGCTCAACCTCACCGCAGCTTCCTTGAACCCTGGAAAGATGCATAGAACGCCCTCATAATTTGAACTGGTGGCTCCGCAGCTGGACAGAATAACATTTGGTTGTCTGCAAGACTAATTCTAAAGAGATGGCAGAACAAAGGCTACCAAATGCTGTTGTTTTGCTATTTTTACTTTGGGAAAGGAGGCTGATCGCTCCTAACATACTTGGCTGGTTTAGCAAATATGTCTCAAATGCTGCCAGCACTGGAGTTATGTGCTACTTACTAGAACGCAAACACTTTATGTTGTATAGTTAGGTTTTCCTCCCTTCCTGCTTACCAGATGCTAAGATATTGCATATTGCAAGCTGGATTTGCACAGATAACTGAATGTAGAGGTTGAGGCATGAATAAAAGTGTGTGGGGGGGAATACAATTTCTGAGTTCTCTTGTATGTTAGGGGTTGACTGTGGAACTAGCAGTTTAGGAAGGCAGTTTGAAAATATGCTTTCCCTTGCTATGCTAGGTTTCTGCCTGCAGGGACTAGCTTAAAAAACATGGTGGTCTTGGGTTCGAGCCTCACGTTGGGCAAAATATTCCTGCACTGTAGGGGGTTGGATCACATGACCTTTGTGGCCCTTTCTAACTCTACAATTCCATGATTCCATTGTGGTGTAGTGGTAAAGAGCGGTTGACTTGTAATCTGGGGAACCGGGTTCGCGTCTCCGCTCCTCCTTATGCAGCTGCTGGGTGACCTTGGGCAAGTCACACTTCTCTGAAGTCTCTCAGCCTCACTCACCTCACAGAGTCTTTGTTGTGGGGGAGGAAGGGAAAGAAGATTGTTAGCCACTTTGAAACTCCTTCGGGTAGTGATCAAGCGGGATATCAAATCCAGACTCCTCTGCCTCCTCCTCCTCCTCCTCCTCTTCTTCTTCTTCTTCTTCTTCCATGAAACCTGAAGAAATGGTACTTTCTCACCTGCAATAATACAGTTCAGTGTTCAAAACTCCCAGTGTTCTAGGGATTTCATTAGCTTGAGCAGTTTCTGAGCTCTGGGTGCAGTACTGTGCCTAAGATTTCATAATAAAACTGCACAGTAGAAGGAAAGGAGGACCTTTTTCTGCCTCCCCGCTTCCATCCACTCTCTGAAGACTGGAGAAGAGACCCTCTTAAGAATATTAGGGTGGGCGGGCAGGGGAAGGACTAGAGCATGTGAAAAATGAACATAATAGTTTGGCAGCAGTTCATTCATTTTCAGCTTTGTGTTCTTGTTATAAAAAAGCACGCCTAGACATTCTGTTGTTGCGCCTATAACCTAGGTTTAAGTTGCTATTTAGCTCCTGGCTTTCATATCTCACTTTCTAACACTGATGCGGCACCATACAGCTCTGCTGCCTGTATAAGCCCAGCTTCCTTTCCCCTCCCTAGAAAGCAAGTTGGAATATGGCTTGTACCATCTTCGTCGCTGGCTTTCTTTCTCTTTTTCTTGCATGTGCTCTAGACCAGTTAATGCAGATTGACCATTGCCCCAGCACACTTCAACCAACCTCTTCTGCCTGCAGTTAAAGATGCTGCCACCTTTTTTTTGCACCGGATGCTTGGGAGCGGTTTCTAATCCATGTTTGTATACAGTATGAGGCACTTTCACAAATGCTCGGCACTGCTAATTGCGCTGATCCTAATAATAGCTCCAATAAATCCTAGGCACTCTATCTTCTTACATAAGAAGCTGAATCTGAGATCCAGTGTTTTCCTTAAAGCTGACCAGCAAGCCTATGGTTTATCTCTGGGGATCTCAGACCTGTGACCTTGCATATGTTGTTGGACTCCAACCCCTATCAGCTCTAGCCAGTGGGGCCAGTGGCAGTGGATGATGGAAACTCTATTCCAACAACTTATTTCTCAACCGTTGCTTATACATTATAATAAATGCATTATTGTCAATTTAAGCAGGAATCCAGCTAAGGTCGCTTAAGGTGTTGCTTGCTTTCTCTCCTGCACAGTATTGTTTAGTTTTCTGCATTGCTTCAGATCTTGCTCTTCTTCCAGAGAGTTTGGGGGCAATGTATCCAACACTATGGATCCGTTCAAACTTCGCAGCTTGGATTCCAAGCTGGTATGTGCTGTAGCTTTAAGGCATCGGAACCCGGGTCCCTCTGTTCCAAGTCAAGCAATCTAACCTTTAATGCAAGCTGTGGATGCAAACAAATAGATAACACTAATGTTTGCTATACAGCCCTGGTCCGCAATTGGATTTTGAGAGGGTTGCCTTCAGGAAGGAATGGAGAGTGGTGGAAAAAGATATCAATTCAATAGTTGTGAAGCAATGTGTGTGTGTGTGTGTGTGTGTGTGTGTGTGTGTGTGTGTAACCCAAACTCTTGGAACTTCTTCCTGTTTCATAGCTCCGAAAGGCACACTGATCCCTTTTCGGTTACAGAATAAAAGCTTTGTGATTGGCCGGAGCAATGACAAAAGTATAAATGGAGGGTGGTTCAGCCAGTCTCAGCCTGGGTTTTGCGAGCTGATATCCAGGCAAATATTGTGGTATGTGAGACCTTGGGAGGCTGGGCAGGAGAGAGGCTGGAGGTTTAAGTTGAGGAATTTTTAGAGCTCACAAATATTTAGCAGTTCTGAACAACTGTCATTCCTGAAATGTTTGCTGCTCTGTATAAGAAGCTGGGGGACATGCTCTGAGCGAGTGCTAGAGACAAAAGCATAAGTAGCAAAAATTTTGCTGGGCTTTGCGTACCGGTAATGGGAAGCAAACTTAATTCTTATTTTCAGCAAAGGGGATTTGGCAAACCTATTCTGTCCCTCTGCCCTGATGCATATTCTGCTTGCAATGCCCAGGTAGCACAAACATGTGTTTTGGGTCATTGGTGCACTAATCCATGCACTCAATAATGAAATCTGTTTCTCCATCCCGCCTCTCTTTTAGAAAGAACCCAGATACTGTTCCAACACAATTTTCATTCTGCTCTCTTATCTCTGTGTTTTTCTTTTTAACCTGCTGCTTATTGCTCTACTAATTGTCATTTTAAAGATGGGCTTGTCGTTTTTATTCTTGTGGCCAGTATTTTAAACGAACCACTTTTCTCATAACAAGGTGGGGTAAAGAAACCATGATAATCCTTCAAAGAGGGTTTTTTTTTAAATTAAAAAATTGCATAACTATAGAAGCTCACCACAATCAAATTGTTATCTGTATTTGTTCTTAATCACTTTTTAACCACACCTTTCCACCCACAAAGAGGCCCTTAAGGTGGCTTACATTTAAATTGCAGGCTTTAATGCAATACAAATTAAAAACCAACAGTGTTGTACAATAAATAACAATCTAGTCATTGAAACAGAGGCAGGGAGAAAAGTGAGCCAGTTTTAGCAGTGCTCCGGGAAGGGCTACTGGACCAAACTGTCTTCCAAAGGCAGGTTGAGAGACTGTCAAGATTCTAGCGAGCAAGATGCCACTACTAAGAAAGCCCTGCTCCTTGTGGATGTCACCTTGCAGTGCAGGGAGGAACGACAGATGTATGCCGGGGAAGGTCTTGCAAACGTGTAGTTTTGCGCTCAATGTGAAAGTCTGTGTCAGAAATGGGAATTCTACAAGTCATGTGCATTTCTGACTTGTCTTCATACCCATTCCTTCCATCTCTGTGTTATGTGCAAAGGATTGAGGGTTGTATCCAACCAAGTTATACCTGGAGTAGCACCGCTGCTATGAACGGAACCAAGTTAGTCATGTGCGTTATTTTCAATGGGCCTACTCTGCATAGGGCTAATGCTGGATACAATCCTGAGCTGTCTTGGTAGTGAGATCAACAAGTTGCCTTTTCCATACCACCGGCAGAAGCATGGCTTGCTGTTTGTTATGTGCAAATTCTTTTGAGCTAATCTGGTACAGTATATAATTTAGCTGTTCTTAGGGATAATATAGACAGTAGTCATTTTTTTCACTTCTAAAACAGCATTATGCCGCAGTGATACTGTTTGGTATTTGCGTGGTGTTAATCCTCACTCCCCACCATACTTGGTTGTGTTTCCAGATGATTATCTCCACTTTTCAAACATCCTTCTGAGAATGGAATAGAAAGCTGGCAATCAACTTTCTGTCTAGAAAGGCAAACCAGCCATTCTACAGGAGCACAAGACTTCTGTGTATCAGAGCGCACAATGTTCAATAAGACCCTGAACTTTCAAGTTCACAAAAGTTAATATTAACTGCATCCTGCACAACTGGCTGTTAAAATGAAAAAACAAATTGTGTGCTTGCTTCATTCAGTTCTTTGTGCTGGACACGTTCTTAGAAAAGAGTTTAGCATAGTGTTTAATTTTTTTTTTAATCAAAACCCATTTATTTTTAATTATTAAAGTTGAATGACGTTTCTTACAAATCAGGGCAGAGAGAACTTTTGCAAATGCCATCTTTTCTGTCAGGAGCATGCAGAGTGCTATCTAACTGGAGATCCTCAGATTAGGTAGCTCATGGTGGATAAAGCCATTGGTGGCTACTAGTCATTATGGCTATATGTTGCATTGAGAGCCAGTGTGGTGTAGTGGTTAAGAGCGGTAGATCCGTAATCTGGGGAACCGGGTTCACGTCTCTGCTCCTCCACATGCAGCTGCTGGGTGACCTTGGGCTAGTCACACTTCTTTGAAGTCTCTCAGCCTCACTCACCTCACAGGGTGTTTGTTGTCGGGGAGGAAGGGAAAGGAGATTGTTAGACACTTTGAGACTCCTTCGGGTAGTGATAAAGCGGGATATCAAATCCAAAATCTTCTTCTTCTTCTTCTTCTTCTTCTTCTTCTTCTTCTTCTTCGGGGTCAGAGATGTGTTGCCTCTGAATCCTGGTTGCTTGGGGGCATAAGTGGGGAGAGAGTGCTCTTGTGCTAATGTCCTGATCGTGGGCTTCCCATCTGCAGCTGGGTGGCCACTGTAAGAACCAGCTGTTGGACTAGATGGAGCTTTGATCAGATCCAGCAGGGATCTTCTTATGGAGGAGATAATGAATGCAAATCATGACACTAAATGATTCGTCACAAACAATATAAAGCTGTAGTAGAGCAAAACCAAAGCTGCCTAATGGTGAAGGCTGGATGTGTGTGCATTCTCATGATGCATCACAAGATGCATCACTGTGAAGGAGCCTGACTTGCATGTTGGGCAGAACTGCAGTTTATGCTTAATTGCAGCTCTTGTGGTATGGTGCTGGTGGCCCTTGTGCCTCCTTTGCAGCCACCCTCAACAAGTAAGAAGAGCCAGGCTGGTTCATCCTGAGCATAGGTCTCATTTGGGAACATAGAGATGTAGCTCTGGTCAGGAAAGCAGATTAAGATAAAGAAGCATTCTTTTCTCTCCTCGAATGAAGATTGATGAGATAATTTGCTGCTGTTAGATCTAATTGGAACCAAGTCTATAAAACCAGGCGTCTGTAAGAGTTGAGTTATTGCCGTGTTTCAATGCTTGAACCAGAAATGTGCTTTAATACCTATTGGTTGACATTGTTATTGGGTGAGCTCATCTATTCCTGGCTGAAATCACTGCTGGGAGGTTTGTAAGCCATCCTAGCAGCTGGGCTATTGCTTGCACCTGCTGTTGACTGTGGCTGTGGAGACCAGAAGCCAAATTTCTGAAGCCACTTGCTAGTCGGAGTGCAAAGTCGCTTCTGCCTCTGGAGGGATGAAGTCCTTGCAACATGCCCAAACTCCCTGCCACCGCATGCCGGAGTATTTAGATTGCAACACACTCAGCTTATTGCATCTTCTTGGACTATGCAGTGGGCCCTACCTCACAGAGTGCATCCTTGAATAAGTACAAAATACACAGACCTTGGAAGAAGGTAGACTTGGTGGATAAATTCAGTGTTCCCCATCTCATATTGATGCTGCTGCTGTTTGTTGACTTGAATAAATACAATTGTTCAGATACCTATGTAAAACCCATAAGAAGGGCCTGAGTGCAGCAGCAGTTCTCTCAAATAGATTTTTTTTAAAATTTCTATTTTCATAGAATAATAGAATAGGAAGGGACCCCAAGGGTCATCTAGTCCAACCCTCTTCAATGCTGGAATCTCAACTAAAACTTCCATGACAGATGGCCATCCAACTTTTGCTTAAAAACCTCCAAGGAAGGAGAGACCACATCCTCCAGAGGGAGTCCGTTCGACTGTCGAACAGCTCTTACTGTCAGAAAGATTTAAAAAAGTATCAAGGCGGTGTACAAAATTCTGATTAAAACCCAAACAACCACAATGAAGTAAAAGGAAAACACATTACAGAAACAGAAGTATGGAATGGACAATCTGAAAAGAAAGTTAAAATAAAAAACTGCACGAAGGGGCTGTGGAGATAAATCAATGGCCCTGCCGTTGGATGTATGGACATTTGTACAGAGCACTTCTGCATGAACAGGTGAATCTGCGTTGACAATCCGTGTGACAGCTGTGTTTCCCATGGCCTCCTCTTGCTTCCCCAAGAAGTTGTTGGCTTCTTCAGCAGTAGTTTGCCTCCTTGAGCGTAAGCTGGCTCTCTGGGCTATTCTGTCCCTCTCCCCCGCAATTGCTTTTATACTGCTGCCAATTCCTTGACTCTCTAGTCTTGGAATGCAGCTTTTAAGATGATTTTTTGGGGGGCCTCTTCCTTTCTCTTCCTGCATTCCGCTTCCTCCAAATTGCCTACATTAAACTTTAAACAACATGTGAAAGCCTTGTAGTTGAGAACTATAAACAAACCTGATAGGTAGCCGCAATTTGAGCCGTTGAACTTGCTTAAAGTCTCTCTCCTTTGCCTCGCCGTTTCATTCTAAAATGACAAATTGCTCAGAGCGGTTTCCATGTTGGGGTTTTTTTTTCCTTTTAAAGCTTAGCTCCTCTTTCTCTGCCCACCCCCACCCCCTTTGGGGGCATGTGGAAGGCATTTGTGCACTTGACTTACCATGGCTCAGGCCTAAGGTTTGTGGTTTCTACATGACTGTGTCAAACATTCACACATAGCTGTTCATGTTCGCTTCAATTAATGTTCCGCTGGGCCAGTGCGAGAGAAGCCAACTCCTTTTCTCTTTTGGTTGAGTGCAGCTCGCGTTGCAGGGATTCAGGGTTTTACAGGTTCATTTTTTAAAAATGCAGCACGAAAGCTTTTTAAATGCTTTTAAAAAGGAGGTGGTGGGGAAGAGAGTAGTCCAGTGGATATACAGTGGTACCTCGGGTTACAGACGCTTCAGGTTACAGACGCTTTAGGTTACAGACTCCACTAACCCAGAAATAGTACCTCGGGTTAAGAACTTTGCTTCAGGATGAGAATAGCGGCGGCGCGGCGGCAGCGGGAGGCCCCATTAGCTAAAGTGGTACATCAGGTTAAGAACAGTTTCAGGTTAAGAACAGACCTCCGGAACGAATTAAGTTCTTAACCCGAGGTACCACTGTACTGTTCAGCAGCCTGTGCCAACCTGGTGCCCTCCAGATGTTTTGGCCTTCAGCTGCAGTCTGGCTGGCTGGGACTGATGGCAATCGTAGTCCAAAACATCTAGAGGGCATCAGGTTGGCCAAAACTGTCGCACACTGTGCCTGTTAATAGAGGAAGCAATGGTGTCTTTAAGGATTCATTGTCTTCCCACTGAAAGCAGCGAGGCAAACCTGCATGCAGAAAAAGGCTGAAGGAATAAAGGTGTGCTTTGCATATCAGACAACCGCAAATGTCTTCCATTGGGTTTATAGTGGTTTCCCGACCACGTCGCTCGCTTGCGGCTTTCTCAGCCCTACCTGGAGACACGGTTGATCAAACCAGGGACTTTCTGCATACAAAGCAGGTGCTTTTCTACTGAGCTATGATGTGTGGGAGACCAGGGTTCAAATCCCTGCATAGCCATGAAGCACTCTGGGCAGCCTTGGGCCTAGTCACTGTCTCTCAGGCTAACTTACCTCACATGGCAGTTGCAGGGATTAAATGAGGAGCAGGAGAACCATGTATGCTGTCACTTTGAGCTCCTCAGAGAAAAAGCTGGGACAGAAATGCAATCAATCAATCAATCAATCAAACTACAGAAAAGCTGGGGGGGGGGCAGTAGTTGTTGCCACCTGGCCCTGGCCCTCTATATATAGGACCAGTTCCCCAAAAATGGTGTTTTAAAAGGGTTGCTGGAGTCAGTCTGGACCCTAGTGTTTGCTTCATATTAGTAAGTGCTATAAGACCAGCTTTTGACCTTTTTTCTTTTTGTAGTACAGGAATTACTTCAAACAGTGAGTTGCACAGACACTTGCCCCCACGCATATATGTACTAGGCCTGTGGAGGAAGGGGAAAGATTTGCAGTTAAGCCTCATGGATTTTTGCAGGTCTTCTCTAAGCACAGCTAAGTCTGGATCAGACCCGTTGTGCTGGAGGATTTGGGGTTGGTGTTCTGAACACTGACCTTTTTTATTGTGGGGTCATACTTGGGAGTTCGCTCTGCTGAATGCAAGTGGAAAACAGTGTTTTTGCAATAATAACCTTTTTAAAAACAAAAAAAATCCCTACTACTCAGGCAGTAGACAAGCCCGTGAGGCTCAGTGCCCCATGTGGCCTAAGCTGGCAGGAACTGGGTCTTGCCCTGTTGCTCCGCTTGAGGAAATGTCTCCGCATAAACAGGCACACGGTGGTAGGCAGAGCCAAGGGGATCTGAGGACATTCCAGATGCCTTTGCTATAACTTGGAGGCATGTTATAGCTTGGCATGTCTATTTTTACCCATTTCTCTTTTCCCTCCACCACCCACTTTCTTGTCAGCTTCGTTTCTCCGTGGGCAGTCGGTATGTAGGCTTTGCTTACATTTATGCAGGCAGTCAACATACGTGTGCTTTTAGTGTGCAGTTTTGAACTGTCTTTTACCTCCAGAACGCACCAGACGTGTTGCTCTTCAGTGTAATAATAATTCTCTTCGGGAGACTTGCTGATGCTCTCAGGTCCTCCTTGTGGTGTTTCCATAGGTATCTGGTTAGCCGCTGTGACGATGGCCTGCATGGGCCTTTGGCCGGCTCTGGTAGGGCGCTTCTTATGCTATTGGGTGCTTGAATTCTTCCCTAATGTCCACATTTCCCAGTTCTTCTTCACAGAGAGAAGGAACTCGCCTACATTGCTCCCTAATGTGCTCGAAGTTGCGGTGGGGAGCCTCAGGCCTGAGACCCCAGTTGTGACTCTCCAGCCCTCTTGATATGGTCCTCAGGACTCTCCCCAGGGAACAGCCAGACTGCTCCATGCCTTTCTCATGTGCGTGTGATGTGATCATGCTTTGTGCTGCCCTAGGTGAGGTGTGTAGGAACCTCTGACTTCTGTGTGACTTGGATGTGGCCTCCTTTTGCTCAGCCCCTTTTGCTCCTCATCCTGCACTCCACTAGCACATGTCCCCTGAGGCAATGAGGCCTTCAAACCAAAAAAAAGTGTCTGCACACCTGCTGTAGATTTTTGGGGCGACATCCAAACATGGCTGCCAAAGGGGGTTCCACTCCTTATAGCTCTGCACCATGCGATTCATCCACGTGCACAAATCAGCTTGTCTGCCGACAGAACTTTTTTTTTTTTTTTGGGTGGCCAGCACCCCAGAATAAGTACAACACCTCTGCTCAAAGTTGACTCGGCCTCAATGGCTTTTTCCTAAAGCGGTCGTTGCAAAATGGTAGCGGCCAAGTTAAGTCATCATGGTCCTCCCAGCGCATGAGACTGCTAGGAGTTGCGAGGCCTTGGGGTAAATATTTCATTACTGCCTCAAATGTTAAGAACATTATTCTTTCCTCAAGAAGTGCCTGGTTCCTGCCCGCCCCCCGGTCTGCAATGTATTCTTGTACATAATTCAGAATGCCTCTTTGTCTATCAGCCTGTCTAATCCTTTCGCAAATTCTCTTAAGCCAAGTAGAATTGGACGTTGTATATAATATTTATTTATTTAATGAATATAAAGCCCCGTCTTTGGGCTGGTTGTTTATCTCTGGCTATTAAAATTGAATACTCCGAAGCCGGCAATTATGAAACCTCTTTCCTCTTTACGTAACAGCTTGGAAATTGCTTTCTTCTCCTCCAATATTTCTGTGTCACTCTCTTTTCTGGCTCTTAATTCTCCGTAATGTATGACCTAAGCTGATCTTTATTCTTCGTCGTAGGACAGACAGATTTGGAGATGCGTGTGTTTTTATAGTAGTGTTTTCTTTTCTTTTCTACTTCTTCTTTTTATAACGTTTTAATCACATTCCCAGGCCAAATAACTATTATGCTCGGTTCCTGAGGGGAAATGTCATTAATGCTTGCTTTAAAAAGAAAAGAAAAAGAAAACTAATAAAATTGCTTTTGCTCTGATTATGAAGGCACACAGTGCTATGCATATGGTTTGAATTTTTCCTTCACTCGGCTGAAGGCACTGAATTGTGCAAATAGGGATTTTGATGGCAGCAAGCTGTATTCAATACCAAAACCAGTGCAGGTATGGGGGACCCTGCAGCCCTCCAGCTAGGAAGCTGCCTTATGGTGAGTCAGACCATTAGTCCATCTAGCGCCATATTGACTACACTGACTGGCAGCAGCTCCCTGGATTTCAGGCAGGGTGTCTTCCAGCCACACCTGGAGATGCCATGGTCTCCAACCTGGGACCAATGACATGCAAGGCAGATGCTCTGCAACTGAGCCATGGCTCTTCCCCCAGTTGTTGTTGGACTGCAGATCCCATCATCCATTTCAGAGAATGAATTGATTTTCTGTTCTAGTATTTGGACTTTTTCTGGAGGGTTTGGACATTTGGAAAGGTGGTTTTGCCCGCAGTAATACCTACAAACAGCCCAGTCCTTTTAACATTATGTTTACCCATTTATATACCTCCTTTCCTGAAAGCAATAGCGTACATAACATAGGTACCTCTGCATTGAGCATCATGACTGAGTGGGGACTTGAACCTTGGTCTCCCAAGTCTTAGTCTAGCTCTCTAGCCACTGCACCACGCTGGCTCCATATTGCAAAAAGGGTGGGTGGGTGGGTGGGTGGGACTGATTCAGAGAGAAAAGGGACTTGCTGTAGCCACTTACTGAGTTCGAGACTGTCATGCAACAGCAAGCTATCACTTTGCATTGGAACACATTTTTAAAAGAAAATCCCGACTAGCTTTTCAGATACCTTTTAATTGAATAACTTTCTAAAGAAATGCCTGAAGTAACTGATATTTTAGTTTGAAGTCTTGTTTCTTCTGTTATATTTTACTCCAAGAAGACCCATTTATCCTAAATAGAACCCAATAAGGCAGACATGTATGTACTATATACATATATATGCGTGTGTGTGTGTGTGTGTGTGTGTGTGTGTGATCCCGTTGAGATTCCAAGATGAAATTTTGCAGGTAGTACTTAGAAATATTAAATAATACATTTTTTTGGAATTTTGAATCATGTTGATTTTTTAAAATCACTTTTTTATTTCTAAATTTTTAATTCTGTAAATTAACTTTAAAATTTAAAGTAAGTCTATCATGTGACACATCATATTCAAGCCCATGATGTTCTGGAGAGATTGGTGTTTTTAGTTTTGAAATACCTCAATTCTGGGCTGAGCTTTTAAGGTTTTTGTGAAGTCTGGCAAGGCCAAAATTGTCTTCTTTTTTAATTTCAAACCCTCATAACTCAGAAATTTAGATTTAAACTTAGTTTTGATCATTCAGCAAGTATACAAAATATAAGAAAATTGGATGACATGAGGTAAAAAATTGGATCATTTGATATGGAATGACCCTGAGGCACGTTTGGGTGAGAGATGGTGCCTGGCTCAAGGTCAACCATTGAGCTTCATGGCTGAGTGGGAGGTTATGGGAACAGGGACATGAGTCTCACCAGACTGGCTCTTTCTGCTACACCAGCTCTTCCAGGATGCCATGAGGCTGACTTGGAGGCCCAGGACATTTAGAACAAAACTTAGTTCCGTTGGATTCCTACCACATGATGTCGATGAATAATCTGACGCCACATTCCCACCATACATTTAAAGCACTATGATCTGACGGCTTCCCCCAAAGAATTCTCGGAGCTATGGTTTGTTAATGGGCGCTGAGATTTGTTAGGAAACCCCAGTTCCTACAATTCACAGAGTAGCTTAACAATCCATCTTCTTGGGGAACTCTGAGAATTGATCTCTGATGGGGATAATGGTGGTCGAACAACTTTGGCACATGGATGAAGATCAGGGGAGCAAGCTCTTATCAGGATTGTTAAGATGTGCCCAAACTGGTTTTCATGGGAGGACATTGGGTTCCCATGCTGCCATCCCATCAGTTTGTGTTAATTAGTTACACCATCTGGGCTATTAGTATGCCCCGTACAGCCGATTTTAATTCTGCTCTTTGCTGTTAACGATAAGCTACATAAATATTTGAGAGTGTTTTAGTTTTGGTGACTAAGAGGGAATTTCCAATTGATTTAGGAAGACTGTGTTCGAAGGTTAAAATTGACATGTACCTGACTCCTTCAGAATAACAAACAGCCTTTATTTGGGGCCACTTCAGGCTGTCCTTCTGAACTGAAAAGTGCATATAAAATTTATGATGGATGTGGATTTTTCCTTTTTGTTACACGTTTCTTTGCTCATGAACAAGATGTCTGTAAGTACAAGTGTATTAGTGAACTGTAAAAGTTCCATTACTCGCATCTGATAATGGAAATGCACCAGCAGCAACCCCGTGAAAACAGCACATCTTTTAAAGTTTACTACCGCGGTTTTACGAGCTTCCGAGCTTTTTGCACAGAACAAAATGAGTTACTGCTTTTTAAAAGCCTCTTGCTTGCCTTGACTAGGGTTTACATTTAATATTTTTGTGTGTTATTTTTTCTTTTTTACACTAGTGAAGAGGCATCTCATATCTTCAGGGTGTAGCTCAAAACTTGAGAGGTGTGTATGGAAATATCAACATGTCTACATTGACCTCATTCAGGGGATCCACTATTCAATATATTATATTACTTGGGAGTAAGCAGCACTGAACTGAAGGGGACTTGTTTCAGAGGAAACGCAGGATCGGGCTGGGATCCCAGAACACACGTTAGCTGTGCTAGGAATCAGTCACCCTGGTATATGTTGTGACCCGCCTTGAGATCGGCAGATGAAGGGTGGTATACTACTACTACTACTACTACTACTAAAGGTAAAGGTAAAGGGACCCCTGACCATTAGGTCCAGTCGTGGCCGACTCTGGGGTTGCGGCGCTCATCTGGCTTTATTGGCCGATGGAGCCGGTGTACAGCTTCCGGGTCATGTGGCCAGCATGACTAAGCTGCTTTTGGCGAACCAGAGCAGCGCACGGAAACGCCGTTTACCTTCCCACCAGAGCAGTACCTATTTATCTACTAGCACTTTGACGTGCTTTCGAACTGCTAGGTTGGCAGGAGCAGGGACCGAGCAATGGGAGCTCACCCCGTCATGGGGATTCGAACCGCCAACCTTCTGATCAGCAAGTCCTAGGCTCCGTGGTTTAACCCACAGTGCCACCCACGTCCC